AGATTTCTCTATTATCCGAAGCTTTATGGGCTGATTTCTATGGACTGCTCTGTGGCTCTAAGGTTTTACCATCGGCTTGACAAATTGGCGGAAGGGTTGGAATATAGCACTGTGACTTCGAAGCAGGACTACGCAGCTCCAAGTTTTTCGGGCTGAGGTCCGCTGATAGCCATTTGAGACAAAATAGTTTCGCAAAGAGTTTGACGTATTGCTCCGTGTCCCGAAGTGATTGACTCTTGATGTTCCACATTAGTGTCAGTGGTGAAGGTTGTCCCTCTAACTCCGTTACATCACTAAGTGAATCAAAGATTTCTGTCCTTACTGTTACAGATTTTGCTATGGTTGGAAATTTTTCATCTGTATTGTCACGTATTGATCTCTGACAGACTAATTCTGAACTTCATCTATGCAGATTAGTTTACGACCAGAAGCTTTTCCACTGTTACTCTTACTCACACCCAAAGTTTACCACTGTGTTCGTGTCCTTTTTATGCGTATTCTCATTAAATTTGTAGTTACATTACACAGATTTTTATTTCTTATCTCTTTGATAACTGAAATCGCTGAATATAGTAGGAGAAAAGAAAGAGACAAATAAGTCATGTGACATATAGACAACATCATAGAATTGAGATGAATCAAATGATCAAATAAATATGAGATAGCTGCGACAAAATGAATGGATGCGACTAGTAACTGGGTGTGGGTGTGGGTGGGTGTGGGCTGTCGGTGTCATTTTTCTATTCACCCACACCCACGCTGCCCATTTACATCCACTTCATATCCACACCCACACCCGCAATCGAGGATATTAGCGGATGTGTCTGTATGAGGCGCGTAGAGTTAGCTTTATATTTGAGTGTACGTGCTATATTTTTCATAACTGATACCCCCATCTTGTGAGTTTTTTTCATGGATGTTTCAATGAATGAGAGACCATAAATGTAGCCAACTTACGGAATAAGTGGTTTGAAATTCACCGGCTTGTGTTGCTTTAATGAAAACTTGTGTCAAAATTCTGTATAACAAAATTTCTTTATAAACATACGTATTAAGAGAACTAAAATAAAACTAACTTTGTGACTACTAACTCGTAGTTAAGTAACTGGACAAAAGAGAGATTGACAATATTTGTTGATCGACGATTATTGAAAACGAACAGTGAAAACAGGTAATTTTGAAATACGAAATAATAATTATTCTGCAAGAGAAAAACAATGCAAATCAATTTGTGACACAGAAACAGCTACAGAACTGCAAAAATAAGTTAGAAGTGAAAGTAAACAGTGAGTCGTAGATGTTGTCAAGACATGCGTGGTACGTCACTCGCATCGAATCGAAACTTAAAAACATATTTTCATTTCATTGAAGACCGTTCGATCGATGAAAAAAGAGAGACAGAGAGAAAGAAGAAAATGAAATGTGCTTAAAAAGTAGGTGCTCCGAGTGTTGTGCACTTCAGTGATTCTCTCGAACAGTTGATGAGAATGAAGAACGTTCGACGATTGGACAACAGTACACATTGAATAAAACAACAGCAAAAATGTTGTAATTAACTAAAGGGGATAAAAATGTTATTAGATTTTCGTTTTTTATCAACCTTACATGAAAAACAATAATTTAATAAAAACAGAATAGATGAAATAAAAAATCTTCAGAAACATTTATAAAAAATCAGGAAAATTAGAAAAATTCTTTTTTCTAGTTATTAAAATAGACTTTGTCTTCTAGATGTAAAAATCACCCTCCATTAACAACTAGGTTCTACGTATGTGCTTTACCTACACGAAAATGTCTGAAACAAAGCGAAGAAATGTTCAAAATCCAGACTTTTTCAGTAAATAATACTTAGCGTTTCTGTTCAAAAGTGATACAAGGGTATATGTGTGGGATTTTGATATTAATTTGACGCACACTCACACCCACATCCTGGCTATCGCTGCTACGCCAATAGCAGCAGTTTCTGCCAACTGTTTTTGTCGATCAGGGGTTGATCGATGACTGAATGAATGCAAAAGGCACAACGTCGTCTTCTCATGTTTATATAACTGTTTATCCTTTTTATTGACATTTTTTTTCTGGCTTGTTGCTATCGACCTCAAGGACTTCTTGTCTCGTTCGATTTTGTCATTTCAAGAGTGTTGCCGACGAAACGACAATAACCAACGAGCGAAAATTTTTGTACGCTAAATAAGTAGTAAGAAAGAAGGAGAACGAAACAAAGTAAAATGAATGCATTATCATGATTCATTGGAAAAAAAATTAAAAAATCATAAATAGAATTTTTATAATATTGTTCTCTGTTTGTCTGCTGTTGTTTGTTTAGTTGTCAAGCTTTTTTCCAACATAGTAGTAAGCAAGGTATTCTATGTGTGTGTATGTGTAACTAGACATGTAGGAAGAAGAGAATGATAAGAAAACCAAACGAAACACACATGCGTTTTGTTTGCTTGATTAGTTGCAATCAAACGAAACTGACGATCCAAGTGCGCAATAGAAAAAAATCATTTGTTAATCATTTTTTTAATTTCATTGTACGTAAAGTGCTGTCATCGTATACTGTTTGATGACTGCCATGTTTCAAAACAGTGGTTGACATAATTAATTTTGTTTTCACACATCACTTCATACATATTTTATTAATCTGCTAGTATTGCTATTGCAACTGAAATAGATAGAATCGAATAAATGAGCTACTATACAAATATATAGAAATAGGCCGTTGAAATAAATAAAGATGAAAAGCTACCGTATTTGGAAATAAAATGAATCATTAATTATTCAATGACCATTTGTGACTTTAGTTTATATATGAAGGAATTTTCTCTAATATTATTCGATAAAATGGTGAGGAATAAATGTTCCTTTTTTTTCTTAGTTAAATCTTTTATTTTTTTTATACAGATAGACTTAATTAATCTGTATGTGTGGTTACAAGAATCAAATTAATTCAACTTCTTATTAAACTCAATGTAGCAAAGTGATAAACATTGAATAATTATCAAAAAATTAACTATGAACTTTAATGACTCTTGAAATATTGATTTTGCCGAATAAATATTAAGATGATTATTTTCATCTTGCAAATAATTTTTACTGTACATGCCTGCAAATAAATGCTGGCAGTCTGTATTTCAAATTTGCCTATTTCATTTCAAGCTTTGCCCATCGTAATTTTTACTAATGTCGGCGCCAGAAGTCAGTGCACTTGAATGTTTTTTGAATAACGTTCGATAGGAACAAGTTAAAGACCTGAGGTTTTCAGCAATCGATAGAAGATTATAAAGGACAGGTTTTTATATAAAATTCAAGGTTTAAATAATCAGGCACAATAGGAGTGGTTGTTGAATCACTGAAAGAATAGGCTCGTTATTTGAAAAAATCTCAGCAGAGCAAGCTGAAACTTTCAGCATATATAGCCCTACTGTAGCCCAAACTTTCCTGAAAATATCATCGATAAGTCTTGTAATGACGAGGAATGGTGTGCTAATCATTATACTGATCTTACATAAGGCCATTATTCACTCAATATATTAGAAAATGACTTCAACTTTTGGCTGAATAAATACCATAATCTAGACTTCATACCTATGCAATTATATAATATTTTGATTATATGAACGAGAAGAGCCGGTGAAAACATTACTAAGTTCTGCATTTCTCTTGAGGGTGTGGGGGTGGGGGTGGGGGTGGGGGTGTGGATGGGTGTGGGTAGTCTCTTCAAACACCCACACCCACACCCGCATGGTACGTATCTCATTGGAACACTGAGAAGTAATCGTGCCGGATCGGGAAGGAAAGTTGTTCAGAAAAACCTTAGGTGCGGTGAAGTTTATGGACTTCAGAATAAAGACGGCGTAAAATTGATCATGTGGAAAGACAAAAAAGACGTCTTGGCGATATCCACAAGACCGTCGGATTCAGCAACTGTGGTGGATACTGGAAATACCAATAGTAAAAATGAAAGCATCATGAAACCACAAGTTGTACTAGATTACAATGAAGAAAGACTAGCTAGTAATTTATCTGATCAGCTATCATCGTATTACACGTGCCGCAGGCGGTCAATAAAGTGGTACCGAAAGGTAGCATTTGAATTAGTTTTTGGGACGGCACTAATAAATAGCTATTTGATATACAAGGAAAACTACGCGGCAAGCAAAGTGACCATTCTGCAGTTTCGTGAAAGTCTAGTCCGGTCTTTACTGCTTGGCACACTAATTGAGAAACTGAGACCTGGTTCGAGGCAACAATCAGCAAGTCATTCGAAGCGCAAACTCGCTGATCATAAGCTCGAAGAAAAAGGAGGATCCACACGCAATGTTGGCAGACGATGCACTGGCTGCTATGCGAAGGGAAGGGCACAACAGTCAAGAGAAGCGAGCAGTGCAGCAGCAAAGAAAGTAAAAACCTTCTGTTGTGACTGTGATAAATTTTTTTGTCTTGAGTGTTTTAATGATAAGCATTTTGCTATGGAATAAAGGATTCAACTAAAGTACTGAAGGTAGAAGATATGATATCTTATGTTTAACCTCCTGCTTAAGGCCACCCCCCCCCCCCCCCCCAAAAAAAAAAAACCAATTTTCGTCAAATTTTTCGAAATTGAGATAACCGCATAGGAAGATAGCCCGCCTTCCGATCTTTCAGATGTGATATGTTTTTTTTTCGAACACGCCTTTTTTGTCTGAAAATTATGATCGTTTCTATAACCGGATGCATGAAAAATATGATTTTTTTGGAAAAAATGAATTTTGAGTTTTTTGCATGAAAAATATGATTTTTTTGGAAAAAATGGATTTTGAGTTTTTTGCATGGAAAATAAGTACTTTAATTAATGAAAACCAAAGACGTTTTAACAAGTTTTATTAATCGTTATAGAAAAATCAAAATTCAAAAAACAAAAAATGAGAAATAGACTAGCTGATAGAAAAAAAAAGCTTTATTTAAAAAAACTTTGATCTGACAAAGTTCACATAAAAAATTGTTTAATAAACTGTTACTTATTCTTCTTCTTTCCACCTTCTTCTGTCTTTTGGATTATAATAACCATATTCGTCATCACTAGTTTCATCATTCTTTTCAACATCTTTTTTTGTTGCTGTATCAGGACTAAGAATTGTTTTATCATCATTATCAGTTGATGAATTATCACTACTGGATGTTGAATCATGATCATCAGTGGAACATTCATTACCTTCTGTTGTTGTATCATTATCTTCAAATGTTGCTTGATCACCGGGATTTGTTTCATTGTAATCATCATCTGCTTCTTCATCACTATCTATTGTTTTATAATCATCATCACCAGATGCATTATTACTATTTGTTTGATCATTATCAACATTTTTTTGTACATCACGACCAGCTTCTTTTCTTCTTTTTCTATTATTTTCTTTTGATTCTGTATGAAGACGAGTGTTGTCGAAGTGAATCATTGCTTGGTCGGTGTAGTGACCACGATAACCACAGATGTTGTTGAAAAGATCTCCTGTGCAAAAGTAAAAAAAATTATTTTATAAATGTCAAACATTTCAATTATAATTAAAAAAACTTCTGAAATTATTTGTATCGGCTTACCTAATGTAAAATATCCATCATTAAATATTATTATTGCAAGATGACATGCAATTTCAAATATTGTTTGAATTTGCTGATGTTGATGTTATATCCAATTTCGTTCTTTTCGTAATCTTCTGTTGTGATGGTAAAGATGAACGTTTTGAAGATGTGGATGGATTTGATGTTGTTATTTCTAATGTTGATGCTGGTATTGATCGTATATTTTGACGAACACGTCTTGTCACGGCACGTGTGCTACGTCTAGTATTAAGTCTTTTTTATTATAAGGAAAAGGAATTTCAAATTAGATTTTTTATCTCCCTTCTTACATAAACCAGAAAAACATTCACTCGTTTTAGGGCTAGAATAATTCCATTGACTAATAGTATAAGAAAAAGAAGTTTCATTGGAGACACTTACCGTTTTGTTTTTCTCTTGTTAGCCATAATGTTTGAGACCAACACGTTTTAATATAAAACCGTAATACAAAGATAAATGTATAATCTAAACAAATAAAATATTAAACTAAAGTATAGATATATTCTTTTCTTTTAGAAAACACACTAACAAAACTACACATATACATAGAGTGAGCAACAAACTGGCACGCCTCTCTGTATATGTTATAAAGGTAGTTGACCACTAACTAATTTTTAGTCAGAGAGAAGTATTATCTTATCGCGTATACAATATACTGAACTATTTTATTCTTAAAATCAACGTGAATATATATAAGAGTGCTGAAAGAGAAAGAATACACCAGAAGATAGTAAAGAGAGAAGTGTTAGTCTGTGAACTAACACGTTTTCCTGGTTTATTCTTTCCGTACTAAAAAAACAAAACAACAACAACAACAACAAAAAAATAACTATCGGTCCACATATATATCCTTATGGATCATCCAGATGACCAATCAATAGAATATAGAAGAAAGAGAAGAAAAGTGAGGTAGTGGACGAAAGATAGCGCCACTACCCAACAAGAAGAACTCATTAGATAATACGAGAGAGAACATACATGGCTAAGATGCAATAAAGAGGGCTGAGATAACTCACAGTTAATTTCATTAGAATATTTTCCAGTAAGCCCATTATGTTTATGCCCTGAATAATAAAATTATTCATCTAGTGAAGCTCAATAAGCGCCAAAAGAAGGTTATTTGTGCATAGTTATAAAAGATATATGACAGTTAGTAGTTATTCTAGTCAAATCTACCAAAAAAGTATCTAAAAATGTTAAAATATGGTAAAAAATTTTTTCAAAAAATGTTTTTCGTTTTTTCTCAGTTTCGGCTTTCTGGACCGCGCAATCCATTTTTCTCTGTCCAGGCTCATTCAATATATTTATATATATTTTTTGTTTGAAAGAGCACGTCAAGATGTAGTGCAGTACAGAGTCCTTTTTTTAAATTAAGCTTGTTTTTTATTATATATACAAACACTTATATAAACAGACCACCATTTTTGGCGCGTTTTTTGAGTCATTGAACTTGTCAGCCCTTTTCTCCGCTTAAAAGATAATAATTTAAAAAAAAGGACTCTGTACTGCACTGCATCTTGAGATGCTCTTTCAAACAAAAAAAAATTTAAATATATTGAAAGAGCCTGGACAAAGAAAAATGGATTGCCAAATGAGCTATTTTTGACCCTTGCTTGGTTCATATCTCTGTCAAACATCAGGGTATCGAGCTGAAAATTTTACCACAGCCTCCACACATCAGCCCCAACATATGCTCCAAATTTCAGCCCATTTGAACGTACCTGGGCTGAGATCGATTTTTGAGGG